GGGTTTATTTCTACTTAATTTGCTTTGTGCCGCCCCAAACAGCAGGATGGCTGCATGGCTGCTCAATTTTCTTCAACCATTTCCATTCAAAGATGGAAACCTGTGTAAAGTCCTCACCCTCAAGGACTAACTCCTCCCATTCTAAGGAAAAACAACCCGCAAAAGGCCCAGTAACCTTTCAGAGATCAGCTGCATCATCTGAATTCCTCCACATCTCCGTTTCTCATCACATATTCCCTTTTCCTGGAGAATACACATCAGATCACCCTTCTCAGCACACATCCCAGGTTTCACCCCTCGCCCCTCCGGCTTTTTCATGCTCACTCTGACACCACTTTCTATCCTCCTGCCGCCACTTCATTGTCAGACCCTTCTATGGCAACTCATATGCACCCAGGGAGATACTGTGAGATCAGACTTGACTACTGAATCATACCAAAGAACTCTCTTCTCTGTTTGAATAGCTCCGCTTGCACGGCTATTACGAGACTAGTTTCCCATTTTCAGCCATCCGATTTCATTATTCTTGTCCACTAGGCTCCCTATATTGCTTATTTTTGGGTCCTTATTGTTTCACACTGACTCAGCATCTTCTACTAGGTTAACTAAACCAGCTAAATGGTCATCTCTTACTCTGCCCTAAGCTTCCTTTATCCCAATCAAATCTCCTTTATTACATTTTCTCACTTCTGCACTTTCTTCCACACTACTCCTAATACCCAGGACTTTTATTTCATTCAAAAGGTCACAATAAAATTATGCTACTACAAAGAAATCTTCCCAGATTCACATAGAATTAAGGATAAAGGAAAGGACCATCAAAATTAAACAACCAAACCACAATTAGCAAGTTTTCTACTGCTTATAGTTTTAAAAAGAGAATTTTTTAAAAATTAAAAGTGCTCATTTGGCCTCCCACTGCCAATTTATACATGATAGAGATGACATCTTGTGTTTCTTGTGACATTTGTACATCATTTTCCCCTCCAAAGTTAAAACTCAATATGGCAATATAAATCTTCAGAATTCCAAATGTACTGTCACTGTTCAGCTGAGGTATAATCATGGTATTCAGTTAAGAATGTATAACTAGGGAAAAATGTGTATGGATCTCTTTTGCTCAATTCCTGTAGCTTACCAAGGAAACAACTATCCCATGGCAACATTCTAAAGAACGAAGGTGAACTTAATCAGTCACTGTCCCACAAACTTTCCAAGGTGAAGTCTCAGACTGGCATAAACAACAGCTAAGTTATAGTAATTTACATACTTTATCCTATAATTTCATCATTGTTCAGCTCACTTAAAAGTACTTGGGGCCACACCCAGTGGCTCACACCTACAATCGCAGCACTTTGCAAGGCTGAGGTGAGAGAATTACTTGAGTCCAGGAGTTCAAGATCAGCCTAGGCAACATAGCAAGACTTCATCTCTACAAAAAAAAAAAAATTTTAAAGTTAGCTAAACATGGTGGTGCGAGTGAGCCTGTAGTCCTAGCTCAGGAAGCCGAGGTAGGAAAGTCTAAGTCCAGGAGATCAAGACTCCAGTAAGCCGGGATTATGCCACTGCACCCCAGCCTGGGCAACAGAATAAGACCTCAACTTAAAAAAAAAAAAAAAGCCGGGCTCGGTGGCTCAGCCCGTAATCCTGCGCCTTTGGGAGGCTGAGATGAGTGGACTGCCTGAGCCCACGGGTTCGAGACCCACCTGGGCAGGTAAGACCTCATCTCTACAATAAATCAAAAACTAGCTGGGTGTGGTAGCGCACGCTGTAGTTCCGGCTACTCGGAAGGCTGAGGCAGAAGGATCGCCGGAGCCCAGCAGGCGAGGCTGCGGTGGCCGGGAGCAGCCACTGCACTCCAGTCTGGATGACAGAGTGAGACTCCAACTCAAAAAAAAAAAAAAAGGCTAGGTGCAGTGGCTCACGCCTATAACCCCAGCACTTTGGGAGGCTGAGGTGAGAGAACTGCCTGAGTCCACAGGTTCGAGACCAGCCTGGGCAATTTGGTGAGACCTCATCTCTACAATAAACCCCCCAAAAAATTAGCTAGGCATGGTGGTACGTTACTGTAGTTCCAGCTACTTGGAAGGCTGAGGCGAAAAGACCACCTGAACCCAGCAGGTTGAGGTTGTGGTGACCACTCCAGCCTAGGCGACAGAGCAAGAGACTCCAACTCAAAAAAAAAAAAAGCACTTATACAAAGAGGACCCAAAAAAACCCCAAAATTATCTTTTGGAGGGTGGGCACCCTGTAATACAGGCTTCCCCTGCCAGGTAAGTGTTCTAGCAACCCGTCGGCATCAGTGTGCCAGCTAGCATTGTTGTAAGAGGCTGTGTTCAGCTTCAATGAGTTTTTTTTAAGATTCTTTCAACATGTTTGCCCATTTCGTGATGAGTGGTTGAGGAATGTACCTTCCCACACCACAGTGAGTGTTCAGCAGTTTTCAACCAAAAACGCCCTACCCTCCTTATTCACCAGATCTCACCCCAAGTGACTTTTTTTTGTTTCGCAGGGTGAAAAAGGACCTCAAAGGGAAATGTTTTGCCAGTGTGGAAGAAGTGAAATAAAAAACAGCAGAAGCACTAAAAGACATTAAAATTAATGAGTTCAAAAACTATTTTGAGCAGTTGAAAGTGTCTTGGCCGGGCGCAGTGGTTCATGCCTGTAATCCCAGCACTTTGGGAGGTCAAGGTGAGAGGACTGCCTGAGTCCAGGGATTCAAGACCAGACTGGGCAACTTGATGAGACCTCATCTCTACAATAAATCAAAAAATTAGCCAGGCGTGGTGGTGTGTGCCTGTAGTTCCAGCTACTTGGAAGGTAGAGGCAGAAGGATCACCTGAGCCCAGCAGGTCAAGGCTGCAGTGGCCGTGAGCGTGCCGCTGCACTCCAACCTGGGCAATGGAGTGAGACCCCAACTCAAAAAAAAAAAAAAAAGTGTCTTAATAGGTGTACTGCATCAAACAGAGAGTACTTTGAAGGTGACTGATATTTAAACATGTCAAAATAAATACACATTTAAAAAAAAATAAATTCCAGGATTTTTTGGGTCCCCCTCATACTACCTCTGAAATATCTCCATCTTTTTTTTCCTTGTTCTTTTCTTTTTTCTTGTGGTGGGGAGGCGATGTGTAAATACTTAGCTCCTAAGAAAAATCTTGACTTCTTTGGCTTAAATTGGAAACTTTCTACCTAAACTGAATTCAAGAACTCACATGGATTTCATTAGGCAATAGGCAGTCATGTCAAATTTTCTTGACAAGTTGGGGAAATTGGAAGATGAGTGAAAGGACAATTAACTGTCCTGTCAGTAACACTGAACCGCTGTCACATTGGGGGTCCAGAATTCTTTGCACAAACACAAAAGCTTGAAAAGTCATGGACATGATTCAGCTACTGATGTCCAAAAGCTGGGTGACAGCATAAGAGACAATCAATCCTTTTTTTTTTTTTTTTTGAGTTGGAGTCTCACTCTGTCACCCAGCCTGGAGTGCAGTGGCCGCTCCCGGCCACCGCAGCCTTGACCTGCTGGGCTCCGGGGATCCTTCCACCCCAGCCTTCCAAGTAGCTGGAACTACAGGCGCATGCTACCACGCCCGGCTGATTTTTTGATTTATTGTAGAGATGAGGTCTCGTCAAGCTGCCCAGGCGAGTCTCAAACCCGCAGGCTCAGGCAATCCACTCACCTCAGCTTCCCAAAGCGCAGAATCACAGGCTGAGCCACCGAGCCCGGCTACAATCAATCATTTCTAAGTCTGACCACTGAAAGAAAAGAGTAATGTCATAAAATTTACCAAGCCTAAAGTTTCTATGCCTAAAAGACAGCTAAATATTTTTAAAGAATTTGTTTAAGCCTTGAGAAACAACAGTGGGGATAGTAAGTCCACTATACAAAGAAATAGAAATACAAAGTACCAGAGAAAGTAAAACTAGAAATATTGCTATAAATTGAATAAATTGATTCAATAAATGTGATTCTCAAAATCACAACCCTCAACATTTCCCCCCCAGAAAAAGTTAACAGAGAATTTTTTTAAGAATCTCTATTTGAAGCTGAGTGCAGTGGCTCACGCCTATAATCCCAGCACTTTGGGAGGCGGAAGTGAGAGGATTGCCTGAGCCCATGGATTCGAGCCCAAGCTGGGCAACTTGGCAAGACCTCATCTCTACAATAAATCAAAAACTTAGCCGGACATGGTGGCATGTGCCTGTAGTTCCAGCTACTTGGAAGGCTGAAGCGGAAGGATCACCTGAATCCAGCAGGTCGAGGCTGAGGTGGCCGTGAGTGTGTCACTATACTCTAGCCTTTGCTACTGAGACTCTGACTCAAAAAAATAAAGAAATAAAAAATAATCTTTATTTGGAAGAAGACTACATCAAAAGTAAACCAATGAATCAACTAAAACATAATCCACGTCAACGCAACTCCACTTACTGAGAAAATATTGACAGAATAAATATGGTAAGTGTCCAAAGACTAAGTGGACTGCATAAACAGAGTATGTTTATTCTACCAAATGCCATCAGCTTGATTTTATCTGGCTCCTATCAACCAACTGAAAAGTGAAAAATAATTCAATCATTTAACTGGGAATTTGGATTGAATTGACAGTAACACATAAACAGTTTTATAATACAGGAAGCAGATAATTACCAAAAGTATTAACTAGTGCTGCTGTTTGAAGCAAGTCAATGAATGGTCAGATGGCAAATAAGTTGAATTAGAGAACCCTCTTCTGAAGCTGAGAAACTGCGTTTAACAACATAAAAAGGTAAGTTTCCTCTACTCTATCTTAAATGTTTCATACATGGATCCTATTTTCTGAAAACTACCTCAGACTTAATGACGCTCTCTTATAAGTGACATGTAAAATGTATTAATTTCCTGCAAATTAGTTCAGAGAACATGACCTCCTCATCACTCAGCACCTCCTCCCCTATACAAAGTCACCTGAAAGTGTATTTAGAAATTACAGGGTGGCGGCGTCGTCTCCCGGCAGGGCAGCTGCGGCTACCGCTGCCCCTCCGTCTGTCGGCACGCCCGTCTACCCGCAGTATGAGCGGCCAGCGCGTCTACAGCACGTCGGTCACCGGCTCCCGCGAAATCAAGTCACAGCAGAGCAAGGTGACCCGCATCCTGGATGGGAAACGCATCCAGTGCCAACTAGTGGACATCTCCCAGGACAATGCCCTGCAGGATGAGATGTGAGCCTTGGTGGGCAACCCCAGGGCCACCCCACCCCAGATTGTCAACGGAGACCAGTGCTGTGAGGACTATGAGCTCTTCGTGGAAGCTGTGGAGCAAAACACACTGCAGAAGTTCCTGAAGCTGGCCTGAATCGAGCCGGCCCACGGTTCTCCCACTTGACTCCACCACCACACTCTCCTCTCACCCGGCCATGAAGGACCTTGTGACCAACTCCCTGTCATTCCTAACCTTCTGACCTTGGAGTCCCTGCCCCAAGCCCAGGCCCCTTCTCCCGCCCCCTCTAACTGTAGCTCCCTCTCCTCTATTCAAAGGCAACATTCCTTACTGACCAGTCGCAGAAATTGTCTTAAGCAACAGCTCCAAATGTTGGCTGTCCCCAGCCAGGTCTTGGGGTTGCCACCCTGCCTGGCACTGGCTGATGGGCACCTCTGTTGGTTCCATTAGCCAGAGCTCTACCAAAGGTCCCGCAATCCCCCTCCCAGGAGCACCCTAGAGACAATTAAATACCCTTTTCCACTGGCAAAAAAAAAAAAAAAAAAAAGAAATTACAAGCCGGGCTCGGTGGCTCAGCCTGCAATCCTGCACCTTTGGGAGGCTGAGGTGAGTGGACTGCCTGAGCCCGCGGGTTCAAGACCCGCCTGGGCAGCGAGAACTCATCTGTACAATAAATCAAAAAATCAGCCGGGCATGGTAACGCGTGCCTGTAGTTCCAGCTACTTGGAAGGCTGAGGCGGAAGGATCGCCGGAGCCCAGCAGGCCAAGGCTGCAGTGGCCGGGAGCGGCCACTGCACTACAGTCTGGGTGACAGAGTGAGACTCCAAGTCAAAAAAAAAAAAAAAAAGAAATTACAGCCTTGCTATTGAAAACTGGTGTTTTTGCTTTTCTTCAATAAAAATTGAGTTGGGTTGGTTTGTTTGTTTTAACTTCAGCGTGAGGAAACTTACAGCTACATCTGAAACTCAAATTTTATGATCAACTTATTCAATTTATAGCAATATTTCTAGTTTTACTTTCGTTGGTATTTTGTATTTCTATTTTTTAAAAATCACTATTTCTTGTGGGTGTTTTTTATAAGTCAACTCAACACCTTTATGTAACAAGATAGAGTATGAATAAAACATAAATAATACATTTCCTTACCTATTTCTCTGGCACCTACAAATCAGAAATAGCTAAATTTACAAACTAAATAACTGAAGTTCATAAGCATTTCAAATGAGTAGAAACTTATTCAGGCTCATACAAAAGTACACTTTCTATTGTTATCCTTGACACAGTCTTATACTCTTTTTTTTTTGGTTGGAGTCTCCCTCTGTCACCCAGACTGGAGTGCAGTGGCACGCTCATGGCCACTGCAGCCTCGACCTGCTGGGCTCCGGCGATCCTTCCACCTCAGCCTTCCACGTAGCTTGAACTACAGGTGCACATTGCCATGCCCGGCTAATTTTTTGATTTATTGTAGAGTTGAGATCTCGCCAAGTTGCCCAGGCTGGTCTTGAACCCCTGGACTCAGGCAATCTTCTCATCTCATCCTCCCAGAGTACTGGGATTACAGGCTTGAGCCTCTGCACCTGGCCTAACACATTCTTATACTTTTAGAGTTCAATTTTCAAAATGCAGAGCCACTTCTGAAACATACACCTGATTCTGTGTAATTAAACTGAAAATCAAAAGCTTCTAGAATTTTAAGGTGCAGAAAATATCCCAAAGCGTCAAAGTTCAAGAAGAAAAAAAAGTCTTTTTAATTAAGAGAAAAGGTCAGGCACAGTGGCTCATGCTTATAATCCCAGCACTTTGGGAGGCTGAGGTGAGAAGATTTACCTGAGCCTGTGGGTTTGAGACTAGCCTGGGCAACTTGGCGAGACCTCATCTCTGCAACAAATCCAAAAAACAGAAAGAAAAGAGAAAGAAAGAAAGCCAATGTGTCACCCTTTAAAAGAAAAACAAAACCTTCTTTTAAAAAGATTGAAAGGAAAATTATTTGCCGTAGGCAAGGTTATCACTTTTATTCTGCATTTTTAGACTGAGGACATCCCATGATTTTCATGGCTATGACATTTCAATAATCACTCGGAACACTTGTGTTTATCCACAGTCTTTCTCCTTTCCCTATCCCACAGGTGAAGCAACACCTTCCACCCTCATGAGTGGCCGCGCTAAAAGGCATTACCTTTCACTAAATGATGAAACAAGCAGCACAGGACGGCTCCCACACTGAGGTCGTCCTCAGGCAGTGGCCTAGCATCTTCCCATGCTGAGGCACCTCAGCAGTGGCAGCCCGGGTGAGGAAGATCTTCTGCCTTCCCAAAACTGTACTTTCCCTAAGTCAGTTCAGGCGAACCAACTCACTGGAAGCGACTGCATGCCGGTCAGTACATTACAGGTACACAGTGTCATGTTACTCAATCATCTTGGCATCACATTGAAACAATGACCTAACTCAGTACCTTTACCCCCTGCAATCAAGTCTCTCCTCTACCCTCTGGCCAAGGCTAAGTACTGTTTCATTCAAATACCAGTGCTTTTAAAGGAGCCCTTTCACTGGCGGGCTCTAAGTCCAACTCAAGTTCAAGCTGAAGCTCTCTCAAAGCCACTCAAAAACCAACTTTGCTGCCATATAGTGGTCTCTGTTCATAAAAATGTCCCAACCACCTTTCTTTCCCAGAGCACATGTTTCTAGTATCCACTGGCATAGAGTGCTCGCTCTTTTATTGTTTTTCATTTTTTACATAAGTAATATATATTCAGTGAGAAAGAAAGAAACAAAGAGCAAGCAGCCAAGGATAAACAAAAACTGTTTAACCTGAAAATCCACCATCCAGAGACAATCATTTATTGGTATATATATCATAACTTTACCATATTTTTGAAATATATGTTTGAAACAAAAATAGGCTCTTATTGTATATACTATTTTGCATCCTGCTTTTTGCATTTCATACAATATCAATAAAATTTTCCTAATCAATATTATTCTACAATTATTTTTAAGGGCTACTTATGGTTTTTATTTATTTACTTGTAGAGATGGGAGTCTCACTCTGTTGTTCACAGGTCTCTAACTCCTGGCCTCAAGCAATCCTCCCAAAGCACTGGGATTACAGGCATGAGCCACAGCACCTAGCCAGTCTATTCTACTTCTAAAAATTCCAGGAGCTCTAAATTTTCTTCTATTTCCTTTTCTCCTTCTCCCCGCCACACATTTCCCAGTAAGAACAGTCCAACTGTTCTTTAGACTGTACCTTGAGACAACTCACAATTCTGCTGTAGTCCATGTTTCACAGCTATGATTTCACTTATATCTTATATTTGTTAGATGATTGTGAATAAATGACTACATCTCCGGCTTATCATTTTCAGATAAGCTCCAAGGCAGAGTCAGATAACCACCAAGTCTATGGTGTATCTCCCCCTCCATCCATCACACGTATTTCAAAAAAATAAGTACGAGAATCACAAGGTATAAATTTTTCCCCATGAGTACTATTTTGCTTCCTAAAAAATTCTAAAACATTAAATTATTTAAATTTTTCTCTCTTTTGGTTCCCCTTGCTAATGCTGAAACACATGCTTAGACTGCCTACTGAGCACTGTTCCCAGGGATTGAGAAATAGGTTTTTGTTGTAAGAAGTAAGACAAAAGTTTAAATTCAGGTTATAAAAAAATCAAAATTGGGCCAGGCAAGTTGGCTCACGCCTATAATCTCAGCACTTTGGGAGGCCAAGGTGAACGGACTGCCTGAGCCCACGCATTCAAGACCAGCCTGGGCAACTTGGTGAGACCTCATCTCTACAATAAATCCAAAAATTAGCCAGGTGTGGTGGCACATGCCTGTAGTTCCAGCTAATTGGAAGGCTGAGGC